AAATGACAGTAAATCTTGCAGACTGCTTGAAAAGAGACCATATATGTGGAGTGGGATGCTGCATATCAAAATCTGGATGACCCAGTCTACTCCTCAATAATCAAATTGACTCTCTTACTTGTCTTGCAGTGGAAATTACCCCAGACAAGGACAGTAAGGATAGTCTCCCCCTGTCAACAGAGCCAGGAGATAAGTGGGAGACACTACTGGAGTGTTTCCATAGGAAGCAAGGCACTCTGGAACAAAAGATTTGTTCAGGGAAGCCCACAGCAGGGGTTGGCCAACAAGCCGAGAGCTCTGTAACTACAACAATTTCTGAGTGCAGTCAGTGCCACTTGCACCATCCCTTGCATGATTCCCCCTTAACCTGAAGAACAAGAGAGGGTTTGGGGAAATATGGTAAATTCATTATACTAGTTCTTTTAACAAATCTGGAGGCAAAAAATATATTTTTGTAGGAGTGGAGTTGTATCTGGACTAATCCAAAAGGCCTTAGGCGAGCCACAGGCAATCCAACACTTCTGAGACTAAATAGTGGGCTAGATGCCAGAATTAAGACAGTTATGAGGCATATGAGTGTCTTTGTTCAGCTGACAAGAATTTATCAGGAACATCACTGATGCTTCTGGGTTGTGACATGCCCTCAACATAATTTTCAGTAGTTTAAGGTTTACACTATCTGCACTATCTCAGACAGCAGTGAGATGATGTGAAAGCCCATGCCAGCATATGTTGGTGGCCAGTGATACAATTAAGGAGGGGGAATTGCTATTGCTAAACACATTGAAAGAGAAGAGTGACTCCCTTCTTTGTCTCTTGTCAAGTGGGAAGGCCAAAAATGTATAGATTTAACAGACCAGCCATCTCACCCAGTGTCTTGGAGAAGTCCTTTCTCCACTTATTCCACTCCCTTAAAAAAATAATTCCTGTTGGAGTCATCATTACCAGCAATACGAAGTCAAGCCTGGACCCTTTTACAGGATAGCATCATTTCTTCAAGGGTGACAGTGATGGAGATTAGAACAAAGGCTAGGAACCAGCCTTTGCAAATGTTTCTGGAGAAAAGCAGGTGGAGTCTAAAGGCTGAGCCACTGTAAAGGGAGATGCACACCCAGGGCAGATGCCTTAGAACTGAGCTACAATGTATAAGGTCACCACACCAAAGCTTCCTGTTCCACTCTCTTCCCCAAAATACCTTCTCTGCAGACACGGGGAGTGCATGATGCAAAATAAGTGCATTCAGCTTCTTTACCAGAGGCAGTGCCCCATATGGCAGAAGTGTCAGCTCCCTTAGCAGCAGACTTCCATCTGCTTTACAGCAATGAAGCAGGGTGATGCACCTGCAATGGACACTTAAGGGACTGAAAGGACATGAAATTCTGGGAGAAAGGAAAACTCAGATAAAGCTGTTCCTCCAATTCCAACTCAGGCTGCTGACACAGTAAGAGAGGCCATGGGAGGAAAAAAAAGACTCATTCCCATTTCCTAGTTATATTGATTGGTGTGTTTTATCACAGACTTTCAGTTCCTCCTGAGACTCCTATGCTGTCGCACAGTCACCTTGTTTTGGGAACACATGCAGGATGCTTGAAAACTCACATTATTTATCCAGAAGAGCAGATTACTGCAGCTACAGATAGCATGAAGATGTGCAAGAACAGGGGCAGAGTACTAAATACTGCAGCAGTTACTGAGGGTTTTCAGTGCACAAAGAGACTGAAGAGATGTTACATGCAAGTAGAGTAAGAGGAAAAAAGCTGAAAAGTCTCAAAAAAATACATTAAGGAAAATTTTCCAGGGATCAGTTTTGGTGTCAAAAAGACAACAGCAATAGATTAATTTTAAACAATGTCATTTGGATCAATACAGTGTAAAGGGACAAGTGCTTCTTTTTAACATGTGACAATGTTCTAGGAGATGCATTTTAATAAATTTAATAAGAATGTTTAGGAAACTTAAGAAAAACACCCTTCAAGGATCTTCAAAGAGTTAAAATGTAGGCAGGTGTTCTAAAGAGCATTAACATTTATGTGAAATGAAAGCTCAAACAAGACCCTTCAATCTTATATATGATTCAAGCCAATAGAGAAATAAAGCTGCTATATTAATGGAGCCATTGGTTTCACTAGGATTGCAGCAAGCCTCATTATAGTCCTTCTTTAATTTAAAGTTGGATTTGCAAACTCAAATTAGTACTTTTTATTTGAGGAAGATTTTTTAAGCTGTATTGAAATTCAGCAGACAAAGATGAATGCTGCTTTCCTGCCCATCTCCCAGTTTCTCAATTTTCATGTGCTTCAGGTAATCTCACAGACAGCTATTCACTGATCAGCATCACTCTGCAGATACCTGCAGGTTTATTTCTGCCTGTTCCTCTGCCAGATCACTGACCTCTGTTTTGTGTTGCTAGTATACAGTTCATAATACAGTATATAATTCACTATATACAGTATATAATTCACCTTACTCCAGCTTGCGTCTGGAGCATAAAAGCCTTCTGGCTCTGAAGGAATTAACCTTTCATATGTCAGCCTGTTAGAGCACCTCAGCTGGTGTTATAGCACAAACAGGAAAATTACATTTCTTCTAATAAATGCACAGGGTATGGGATCAGCCACAGTGATGGTAGTGATTTACCTGGGGCTGCTGGTTCCTGACCCTTTCTGGTGCCAGGAAAACCCCTCTCAGAGGGCTCCACTACCATCTTGATGCAGATGAATACTGCCTGGCCCTCAAAGTCACTGATAAGGAAGATGTAAGTACCAGTACCCACCCAGATTTCAGCTGAAGTGGCCAGAAAGGTATGGGGAGGCCAGAGGAAGATGGCTGAATGGCCCCATTGACCATGCAGAAATCACAGTGGCAGGCAATTTAAAACTTTTTCAGACATCTTTACGTGATGCCGAGATGCCTTTCCAAAAACTCACTCTCACGTCTGCATTACATGATCAATATTTTTAGAAGAAATACTGTGATATGATCAACGGCTTGATACACTTCAGCGAGGTTCCAGTTAAAGTTGTGAACCTGATACCAGCTGCTACAAGACACATTGAATAATCTGGACTCAAACAATGAAATATGAAATTTTGTATCACCCATCCAAAACAATAAATGAAAGTCATGTCTCCAGGACTTAGAAGTCTCCTGGGAATTACTGCTTTGGAGCAGGTGCTAGAAGCCTTGGCAAAGAAGTGTCTAAATCCTTTGAGTGACACTGTGGCTTAACTTGGAATATAACTTATGTGATCTGAATAAAAAATCCCCTTTTCATCATACAAGAAATCTGCATTACTTCTTTTGTGTCATTGCATTTCAGATACTAAGTCCAGTTTTAATGTTGTCAGAGAATGTTGACAGAGGTCACTTAGAGAAAACGAAGAAAGAATCACATTTAACACACTTTAAAACCCCTTAATTTTAGTGAAGATTTTTCTTTGTGACTAGGGAAAGTTTTGAAATATCTTGGTCAGTCTAATAAAATATATATAGTGAATAGAAATTCAATAACAGAAAATAAAGAAAAAGGCAGAATCAATCCAGAAAGTGAAGGGAGACATATTCAGAGAGGAAATACTTTTAGAAATGCATTTTTAGACATCAGAGCACATACTAAGGCTTGTCTATTAGTGGAACAACTAACTTCATCAAGGAGCAAGTATAAGATAAGCAAGATAATGAAAACACAGAGGAGATACCATTTCTGAAAGAAAATTTGTGAAATTCTTTGCTGAGACAAAGCTGAAGACCATAATTCAATGTCCTGAATGTTTTCACATTTGGGTGACTTTTTGATATTATGCATATACTTCCTGCAGCAATTCTGCTGAACTAGCCCAACCACTGACTGCAACAAGGATAAACTGCAGATGAGAAAAAACTGAAATGATAAAACTCACGTTTTGGCAGATATTGTGTTTTTCTCTCAGCAGCTTCTGAAAGTCAATTCAAAACAATGCCATAATATTTATATTTTTTTGCTTAGAATGAGCTCAAGAACACAAATTGAAATTATTAGACAATTCAGGGAAAAAAAATTGGAGCTGTCAAAGTGTGCTGCAAAACAGAAAGGTCTAAACATCAACAGAATGGCTTCAACAGAAATTTCTGTTGGAAAGTATGCCAAAGTCTGCGACTTACTTGTTGCAAAAAGGCACTAAGGAGAAATGGAGAAATAAGTTATTTTCCTGTTTTCTGAATATATTTTTTTCAGTAGTAGTGGGAATGGTGCCCTGTGTCCTACTCCTGGCCTCTCAGCTTCTTTTCACAAGAAATAAACATGAAGAAAAAAATATGAGCAGTTCCAGTGTCTCCCAGCGATAAAATAATGTTTAGGAGGTTTGAGACGACAGCAGGAATCAGAATCAATACACTTTAGAATAATTCCATGCTGTTCTCTTGAAAAGAAAACTCTGTTATCCCAAAAGGTGTTCTTTCACCCAGCATGCCAAAGGCGATCCGATCAACACAAAGTAGAGGTATTTGATTTATTCGCAGTTCTGTGCAGAAAAGGGTGGTAGGCGGTAAATCCACAAAGCCAGCATACTGACTATCAAAACTTCACAGACACTAATGCTGATTGGCTCCCAACTAGTCTTCGTATTAATTAATATTAAATCTTCTTTTGGTTGAATAATTCTCTTGCTTCATATGCTAATTAGCCCACATTTTCAATCTTCTTGCAAGCTGGTGCCCACTTTTCTTCAGCTGCTGCCTTTTCTTCTTCAGACAGATCCTTTCTTGATCCTTGGGCATGATCTACTACTGGAATTACCTAGTTTAATAAGTTTGCCTTGTTTTGTGCCTCTTTATATTGTTCATTTCACCAAGTGTCGCTGGTTCAGCACTCTTTATGTCTGGTTGCAGTTACATTCTTAACTTCTTTCTTCTAATCTATTCTTCAATAGCTGCTACAAATAGTGAGAAATGCTAAATATAACTTATCTATTGTGGAGCCATACACAAACATTAGAGTATGCCAAGTATACTGAAGTCAAGTATCACAGCCAACTGAGGGCTGCAATTTCTTTCTTCATTTCCTAATAAGAAAAAAACAAGAAAAGAAAATTAGGAGTCAGTGTGAATACAAGCCTGAGAACCCTGATAACTTCTTAATCAAAAGAATCAAGAATCGTCACATACATACAAGTGTTAGTAATATTTAGCCAATACATGTGCTGCCACCTTCACATCTTTCTAGCCCCACTAGCTTCAAACACATCCTTAGGCACCCAAAACAGAATAGACCAGAGAAACTGCAGAGAGCTATCTCAAGGAGCAATGAATCTCTGTCAAGATGCTTTCAACAATAAAAAAGAAGACAGCTCCTGAAGAGCCACTACTGAAAGCTGGAACTAAAGCTAAAAGGAGACATAGAAAATTAACAAAAATTCAAGTCCAGTCACAAGAGCCCACAAGCCCTGATATAACACAAACAAATCCCTCCTCATGCTAAAACACATTATTTTGCTAGATGAGAGAAGGGTGCATTTTTCAGGAATGGCCTCCTTGGCTAAAGTGATGAGGCTTCCTCTTTTTTTTTTTAAGGCAAACTTAGAAGCATTAAGAATTTTATGTAATTTCATGCATAAACATCTGAAAGACAAATGGATTCAAGGATCTTGAAGCTGAAGACTGCATATCCAATCTATCTAAAACAACTCAATACTGAGAATGCCTGCCTGGGACTATGGGTGTCTGTGGAAGCTTTCTGCTGAGTTCTAGCAACTCAGAAATCCTCTCTCAGAGGAAGAGATTAGAGAGTTTGACTCATTAGCATCAAGACTTCATAGACAGAAAGCTCCCCACGTGTCATATTAAAGATGCTTGAGCCATGCCAAGTTATAAAGAAAGTCTAGTGAGCCTACAGAAAAGCTAGAAATTCTTGTAATGTTTCATATTTAATTTCTTTTCAGGAATGGAATGAGTGCTATCCGAGTGCTACCATGTGTGCCTGCCTGCAAAGGGGAGAAAGAGGAAGTGGCAGACTGAGAAAAGCACTCCCCTTTCACAGCCCCCCATGCTGGAAAAGTTCTGGAGAAGGACTAGTGACAGATAGATTAACTGGTTTGAGAGGCCTCTGTAGGTGCCATTTTCTGCTGAAATTGCCAACAATTATGCCAAATTCAACAATGGGTTTGCAATATGAGTAGATGTCTTCTAGCCTGAAATTCAAGTTTTGTAACGCAAGCAACTAAGCAGTAAAGAGTGATAAATAATTGTGAGTACATACATATGCATAATGTACAAACACACACATAATACCACATGACAGAAAGTGCTATAAGACAAAAAAATTACCTCCACTAATTCGGTTTTGTCCGGATTTTCCCGCTGTTGGTAAATGCACATGCTGAGAACGGAATATAGTTTAGCCATGCTCGATATACTGACGTTCTCAGTTGCTGTGACGACAGCATCCAACACTTTCTGAAGAAAAAATAGTGGAAACTACGATTCAGACTAGGACATGGTATGTCCCACTTTTGTATATTGTTAAATAAAAGTGACACTTCAGAGAGCTGATTAAATATCTCACAAGATTTAACTGGAGAAAGCAAGTTAATTTCTCACACTTCTGACAAAAGTGAGGTGTAAAGTTCAGACAATATTTTCTTACTCATCAATCTATGACATCAACAATCATAACTGCCAACCAGCTGCCTCCAGAACAGTGGGGAATGACACAATCCATTTCATTATAGAATAGCTGCCACCAAAAAGCCACGGTTGTATTTCATTAGAAATGAAATACAGAGCCCTGGAAAATATGTCTTTCTAAGCCAGGCTACAGGTCTTCCAGATACAGCTGTGCCAGCTGGAAACAGAAGCTCCTTAGGTGCTCACCTCTACCCATTACCTGGATGTGTACTGTGCCAAACACCAGTTAGCTCCTACCTTTCAGCTCAGGAGTGGATGAACAAGCAGAATGACTGCCTGTAGCAAATTACCAGTCTGTCACACACTCCCTTCTGCTGTGGAGATGTGAATGTGATAATCTGTGGAAATGCAACACTAACGAGCTAGTCGAACCACTGCTGTTCAGTAACTGTGTTGTGTGAGGTTGTGAAGATACAGCTTAAGAAAGTAACTACACTGAATGAAAATATTACTGCCTCACAGCTGCTTGCCATTAATTCAGCCCTGCTCAGTGCAGTTAGCACAAGATTGGAGTATTGCCCTGAACTCCTTCTATCCAGGAGTAATATAAAAAGTATATATATATATTTATAGTATAAAGTGCAGGTAAGAGGCACAAAGCCCACACAGCGTGCTTTCAGCTGCTGCAAACACAATACATGGCACATGATAGAGGTTCATGGCAAACATCCCCAGTGAAACTGCTTCTAATTGCTGCCACATAGGTGACTGCATGCTTTTCTATTCTTTTGTCAAGTTCTATGCCTATTACCAAGCAAATAAACAAAGAGAAACTTCCACCAATCAAACCAACTTAACAAACCCAAACAAATAATAAAAAAAGCCTATCCCATATGAAACCAAGCAGATATATTTTGGAGGTTCATCCAGCTAATTGACTTCAGGAAAGTTCCAAAGAAGTTCTCTGGTACAAGCGTCAAGTTACAGTGACACTCACGTTAAGGAAACAAGTTTTCTAAAAAGACATGTTTCATGATTGTAGCTTTCTCCTCACAGCTGAAATATATACATAAGCTGAAATATCTATAAGGAGTCTACCATGCAATTTCTCCAGCTGGAAATAACTTTGGAGCACATGCTGTTAGCACTCTGACTAGAAAAACCTATGTGGTTTCTCTCCATATGCAGGCAGACGTGAACAACAAAACCCCCTAAAATTTGCTTCCTTAGGACACCAGCCTTAGAAAGCTAGTTTCACTTCTACAAGTTATGTCACAGCTTAAAATTATGATAGAAATGGTGTGGACAAGCCCTTTCATCAGAGGGGATTCCACTCTGGTCATATTCTCCCCATACAGAGGGAACATGCAAATAATACTCCCTTTCTCAGACAGATAAACAGCAGCCTCTTCTGCTTTGACCAAACTCCAGGACTTCAACTAGCAATTTCCTGAATTTTTGTCCAAGCAATATTCCTTGAAAGTCAGGTCCTTCTTTTATACCCTCTCCTGTTCAAGCAAAGGAACCTCTTTTACCCCCTGCAGCTAGGGGTACCCAGTTTTGGCCTTTTCCCCAGCTACAGCCTAGGATAACAACAACTCTCCTACAGGGGAGTAGGGGACCTCATACCACTGTAACTGTGTGAATGTAAAATTCCAACAGTGAATTTTGAAAGAATTTTGGAAAAGCAGGGATCAGTATTTTATGTAGGATGTGCTTTAGGTCAACCTGCAAATTTCAGGTTTAAAGCCATAACTGCTAAAAAGCAAAGTCCTTTTCTGGTTCCTAATAAATTAAAACATTGAAACAGAAAAACAAAACAATCCTGCACCAATCCATCATAAAAAATGCATTAATAACTAACAGCGCTAGAAGATTGTCATTTTTCTATTTTAAAAATTAGCAAGCCCCTTTACATTAAAAATTAGGAAGAGAACCCCATCTTCTAAAATACAGAAAGATCAGTAGTTTACACCAGCTGCAGAAACAACTCTCATAGTCCCTTACAGGCTGAATTATTTCACAAACTATGTATCCCTCTCATAAATTATTTGAATAGATATTGGTTAACAATTGACTTAATTTACAATCATAAAGAAAATGTTCTACTTTAGTATTAACAAAATTTAAGTTAGACTTACTCTGAGCTCAGAGTAATCCACAAACACTCCTCTTTTTTTAATTTTGATTGCTTTCTTGTCCCATACTTTTGGTTGCCCATCCACCTGAGAACATCTTCCAGGACGGTCTATCTGCGAATCTGGAATGACACAAATTTAAGTCATGATTTCTCTTAATGTGGAACAGAGTATCCATGAAGTATCCTATACCTGAAATAAGGTACCTCTCTGCAATAATAGAAAAATTTTATTCAATTCATGATACTCAAATGCAACTTCATGAAAAATGACTGACCAAGAATTATCACCGAAGCAAATACTGTATTAGTTCTTAACTTACACTAACAAAGTTTTAGATGTAGAATATCCTTACTTGCATTGTTTTTTGATGTAGGAGGTTCAGCAGCTTGATTCATAATCAAGTTCTCATAAAACCCTTTTCTTTCAGCACAGGTAGGCCGAGGGATTTTGAAAACTTCTTCACGATTAGTATTAAACAATGTTTTTATCTAGACCATGAGAAAAAAAGAGACTTCAGGTATAAGCCCACATTTTCTTTTTTTTTTATTTTCTATTCCAAACAAGTGCATTTTCAAATTATGCTGAATATTCATTTAGATAAAACAAGCTATTAGAAGTTAACTTATTGGCCATAAAAGGCTAGATTTTTATAGCACTGCAGACTAAAATACCTTCTCCAATCTACCTTCTAGAGTTTAAGATCCATGAAAAAACATATGATAGGAGAATCAGAAAGGGGCAACATTCACCACCCCAATACTGCTTATTGTACATTTACCCAGCTTAATGTCCTTTAGTTTGATTATTTATGACAACAATAGAGGGAAGAGGCAGGGCTCAGCAGACAAGTGCCAAATTTTTGGTAATGTGGGTTGGTTTTGTTTTTTCTTTTATTTTAGAAATCACTTGCTAATTTTATAAAAACTTCTGTTACTTAATCAAAATAATCGGAGAAGCATATGAATATTTTAACACCTTCCTTTAATGAACACTCTCAGACTCTAGAAAGCACAGCATGTGGTCTTAATTAATTTTGTTAAGAAATACGACTAAAAATTGATTTCCAAGGTGCTTCAAAAGAAGTTAGTCCTTAGCTTTTTAATTTGTCAAGTTTCCACCTAGATGAAGAAAGAAATTGACTTTTTTTTGTGAAATAATTTAAAATAAAAATTACATTCAATCACTAACAGTGTGACCACAGTACTTTTTCAGTAAAAATCTTTTCAGAAAATCTTTTCCAAGCTATTTTTCAAGCACTGTGTGTCCTTCACTATGTATACACCAAGCTATGTTGAAGCTACTGAACTTGTTGTCTGAAGTGTATCTATATATCTGTCTAGTAAGCCCAAGTGTGTGAGAAGGGAGAAAAAGTTGGGTCAAAGTCAATCTCTTTACTCAGAAAACACTTCAGACAAATGCTTTCAGCATTGTTTTGTTTAAGCAAATTTTAAGAGACAGGGTTCTGGTGCCTGAGTAATATTAGCATAAATTGCTTAAGAGCAGCACAGTACTCTGATGTTTCAAGGAGTTGTAAATTAACAAGAAACTGAGTAACAAAGAAAGAAAAGTATTGACAGAAATACCTCTTCAGGGAGATCTTCATGTGGCACATCAGATGTTGCAAGGAGCAAAACTGGAGCAAAGTATGGAATGTTATTCAGCAGTCCTATAAAAGCAATTTTCAGTGTAGGTCCAAGAGCCTCCCACCACGATGGGATTTGTGGGATATAAATGATACTTGGTGCTGTTCTTTGAGCTTCTCGTATCAACTGGTAAAATGAAAGCTTGGGTAAGAAAACTACATCATGTAGAACAGGTCACTAAGTACATATCAGTCAGACTATCTTGTGAAATAAGAGCACAAAAAGCCAAGACATCAAGATAAGCCAGTAAATGCACCACACCTTAACAATAAGGTAACATTTTCACTTTGACACAGACATAGACATTGCTATGCAAACAGAAACAGAACCGAATCTGATTTCAAAACTACTTAGGGGTAACGTAACTCCTAAAGAGCCTCAAAACTCGGATGATGTGATGATGTGCCTGAAAAACCAAGACTAATCCCTCAGCAAGATGTGTTAGCCTGGAGAGATCGCTACACAACTGTGACTGCACTATTTCCAGTTCAGTGTGAGCCCATACCCATGTCAGACTGGAGCACAATCTGAACAAATACCTATGTGGAAAGATGAGGGCTAAGACAGTAAAAGAAGCCTTGGTCACAAATCATAATTTCAAACACATTTTACAAGAGGTGACCAGTCCTTAGCTTGCCTGAAGAGCTGAATCGCTCAGAGTGTCTCATCCCTCTCATTATCAAAGTGTCCATCAGAGCAGATGATGTGCTTTGGAAGACCACAAACCACTGCCTACAGATGGCATTTCAATCACAGAAGAGGACACGAATCTACTGCATGAGGGAAGTGGCAACAGTCCTTTCACATGGCAAATTTCTCTATGCACCATTTCAGAGTAAAATATGCAGGGAATTCCTGTCACAAGACAGGAAACCTGTGGTATATTCATGCAGTAGACAGGGTATTTATACAGCCACAGGTGCAACCACGACATAACAAAATGAGAATTGTTCCTCCTGCTTGGCAAATGAGTATCCAGTCACATGATGTGTCTTTTACAGCTCTAAAATGTTGATAATAAAAATCAAAATATTTTAATACAATGATACCAAGTAATGAAATTTATTTCCTGACTAAAGGTAGAAATTCAAAACAGCAGTAATCTGCTTATATTTGCTTTTCTAGTTAAGGAACACACATCAGTTTACACAATTAAGCATTCCATGAATTGCAACACTTCCATTGCATTTCACTGCAGCAGAACAGACTGTATACGTATATTCAAAAAAACTTATTTTCACAAAAACTTTGTCTGCCCTACAAATACATTAAAAAAGAGAATTTAAAAAGTGCATGACACCATCAGGCTGATGCAAAGCCAGCTACTGGGAGCACAGAGATTTAAGAAGCAACAAAAACAACTTTCTGGGTCTCGTCAAGAACAGCAGGATTACTCGCCACGAAGAGGTGGTGCTTATTAGCAGCACTTCCCATCTTCCCAACCTCCTTCTTTCATTTCAAACAGAAATGAAACACAGCTATGTACAAATGTCCTTATTCAGTATCATTCCATCTACAAGAAAAATTAGTTTTCAGACAAAACACATAACAGCAAATTCAAACCAGGCCAACTCCATTTACAATGAGTTTTGCTTATTTCACTAGTTTACATACAGTTCAAGAATCCTACGAGATCAACCAAAAAAAAAAAAAAAAAAAAGATACCTGTGAACATGTTTCTTCCTGTGATGTGGTGCTAACAAACAAGGTTGGTAGATCTAGTGTATAAGCTGGAAACTTTTCCAGGGCATGTAATACAGCAGGCGCCAAGTCAAAAGCCTGCCCACATCCTGACTCTTCAACTAATAAGAACCGTGGCCTGAAAGATGTTGGCTGGTAAGAAGGATTTCTACAACAAGAAGAAGAATACCAGTTCAAAAAAGAGTGATGAAGAGACACACAGATGTTAAATATTTTTCCCATACTTTTTTTTTTTTGTAAATATGCTCCATGTTCTACCAAATAATAAGCTGGTTGGAGGTTCTGTGATCAAGAAGACCACTCTGTTTATCAGTTTGTTTTCTCAGAAACTGGTATCACTATTCTGCTAAAAAATCCTGCCAGTCCCCAGCATGTCTGCTATTCCTTTGGTTGGGTTAAGTAACAGCTCTCAGGTCCCACAGGGGGAATGTTGAGGCAAATACACACAAACCAGCTGGTCAGTAAACTGATACAGAACAAAATAACAACTCTCACAGCACAAACCAGTCTGGGTCTCTTCACTCTCCATACACAACCATTTTCAGCTTGTCTTGGCTTTAAGTGAAATCTCTACACCTGTCAAATTCAGCTAAAATTTGGCCACAGTTCCTGGAGACGGTGGGAAGAAAGGGGAAAAACTACATTTCTAGGGAAAAAAAAGCAGTGTGGGTACTGAAACACATTAGTAGTATCTCAAGAAGAACATGACTGGATTGCTTAAATTACAACACTACACTAAATATGTATAAGATTTGTATTTATTTTATTCAGTCATTCTGGGGGTTTCATCTTTGACTTGTGTATTAATTTCCTAGTCAGCTTGCTTGACACAAATGAAATACATTTGTGAAGAGGTTTGTGCATTTTCCCATCACATTACTATTGTACCTTTACTTGCTGAAGTCAAAGATCCTGAAGACCTAACCAAGCTCAGCAAGTCATATTTTCTAGACAGCACAGCCATAGAAAGGGAGAAGAATATTTGACAATAATCTATTTTTAAAACTATTGGACTACATGATTTCCACAATAAAAATGTCAAAAGATAACAAAAAAAAATAGTAGGGTAAATCTAAAAAATGCAAACATCATTTAAATTTTCCTCACAGGGATTTAACAAGCCAATTCTTGATTTTGTTTCTGATACATAATTTCCTACTTGTTCAACTTTCTTGGAAGGTAGAAGGGTAAAAGACGGCTACATAAATCCATGTAGAAACTCCAGAGGGTTTTTAAGTTAAAAGGACAGAATGAGCATTTTTTTGGGTCTTGGGTCTTTGAAGGAATACAGTGGATTAACATATTTTAATAATCTCTGAACCAGTTTGACGAGCTAGGGCAGTGCAGTCAGAACAGTTAGATCTAGTACCCATTTGTATCTTCACAGTTGATTTTGTGCAGGTATTGATCACCCCCACATGTACCCATCACATATTTACATAACATTTTACAGATGCAGCCATCTCAAAAACATCACCATAAGGAGGACAAACATGTACCTGCTAAAAGTGCGGAATCCTGCCCTTTTGCTGTGAGGCTTCTTTTCAGAGATTGATGGCAAGTCATCATCACTGTCAATCCCATCATCCCCTAAAATAGGATTTAAAGACAAGAGAAATTTGTTATCTTTATTGAATAGTCCATATCTCTCTTTTGCTTTAGTATACTTTGAAATCAGTGCTGGAAACCATTTCTCTTGCATTTTGTTATTTGAATGCTATTATCTGAAGAGTACAGCCTACCACAGATCTAAGGAGATTGCACAAGTCTACACAAAGCTGTTCTATGTCCTATGATTTGCATCAGGTATTAACTCTCTGTTGAAAAACACTTGGGAGGCTTTTTCCTTAGAATAAAAATGATCAGGAACAACTTCTGTAGTTCCTAGATACCAGAAAAACCCTTCTCCCCTCATTTAAGAATTTATTTACTATATTAGTAATAATTACAGACTACATCAGTGGACAAAGGAGGGGTTACAGACATCATTTATCTGGATTTGCGTAAAGTTTTTGACATGGTACCCCACAGTATCCTTCTCTTTAATCTGGAGACAGATGGATCTGATGAATGGACTGTTAGATGGATAAGAAAGCAATTAACTGCTCAGAGTTCCAGTTGACATCAGTGACAGGTGATGTCCCCCAGCGGTCCCTAATGGGACTAGTGTTATTTAGTATCTTCATTAATGACATAGATGAAGGAATTGAGTGTAAGTGTAACCTCAGTAAATTTGCTGATGACACCAAGCTGAGCGGTCCAGTTGACACACGTGAAGGATGGGATGACGTCCAGAGGGTGAGCTGGACAAGCTCAAGAACTGGGACAATGGGAATCTCATGAGGTTCAATAGGTCCAAGTGCAAGGTGCTGCATCTGGGTCAGGGCAACCCCCAGTATCAACTCAAGCTGGGGATGGACAGATGAAGAGCAGCCATGCCAAGAATGACTTATGGTTGCCAGTGGCTGAGAGGCTGGACATGAGCCAGCAATGTACACTCACAGCCCAGGAAGTCAAATGTGACCATGGCTCCACCCAAAGCAGCATGGGCAGCAGGCCCAGGGAGGGGATCCTGCCTCTCTGCTCTGCTCTGCTCAGACCCCACCTGCAGTGCTGCATCAGCTCTGGGGCCCCAGCACAGAAAGGACATTGACCTGTTGGAGCAAGTCCATAGGAGGGTCACCAAGATGATAAGAGGGGTGGAACACCTCTCCTATAAGGAAAGGCTGGGAAAAATTGGTTTGTTTAGCCTGGAAAAGATGATGCTTTAGGGTGACCTACTTAAGGTTTTCCAGTACTTGAAGAAAACGTACAGGAAATATGGGGAGTGACACCTTACAAAAGCATGCAGTGGGAGGACAAGGGGAAATGGGTTCAAACTGAGAGAGAGAAAGCTTAGACTGGATATTAGGAAAAAAGTCTTTACTGTGAGAGTGGTGAGGCATTGAAACAGGTTGCCCAGAGAAGTCGGAGATGTCCAGTTCTTGGAAGTGCTCAAAGCCAGGCTGGATGGAGCTCTGAGCAATCTGTCTAGTGGAAGATGTTCTTATCCAAGACAGTGGGTTTGGAACTAGATCACCTTTATGGTCCCTTCCAATGCAAATCATTCCATGAATCTAGAGTTTGGAAAGAAATACCTCATATGTGAAACCTTAGATCTATCTCTGAAATGGTTAACGGGATGTGAGCTACTGTCAGTAACAGGGGGCTCCAGTAGAGAACCCATAGTTCTCCACTGCATGTTGTGCCACTTTGCACATGAACAGTATAAAATTTCACTGTCATTATGGCTGAGAAGTTTGTATATGCTGGTTGCACAAATCAGAAGTTTCTGCTTTGGCAGGATTTTAAACAATTAGATGCTATTGTAATACCTTGGTTTGTTTTCAGTGCAAGCTTTGCATGGGGAAATGCTCTCTGCAAGGCTAGTAAAATTCTTTCCAGGGTGTTTTCCAATAGTGGCTTTGAAATAGGTGGTAATGCTCTCCCAGGTGAAACCCCAGATCTCTGTGATGCTGGAACAATCTTCTGCATGGCCGTGGCAAAATCCTTTGCTGTTACTTTAATTGATCTGGCATCTATCTTCAGTCTTTTATCACTCTTATGTATCTGTGGATAGCGGCGGCGCAAAGCACAGAGCCCAGCTTCAACACACAAGGCTTTAATATCAGCTCCACAGAATCCTGACAAACAAAACAAGAACCAAATGTTACCTCAACATATATATGTGTTATATAGCTTAAAAGCTGTCTGGATGGCCAGGCCAAGAGTGTTAGTGAGTGATGCTGCATCCAGTTGGCAGAGGGCTCACTAGTGGGGTTCCCCAAAGCTCAGAACTGAGTCCAGTCCTTTTTAACATCTTTATCAATGACGTGGATGAGGAGATTGAGTACACCCTCAGTAAGATTGTGGACAACACTACGTTGGGTGGGAGTGTTGATCTGCTGAGAGCAGGAAGGCTCTGCAGGGGGATCTGGACAGGCTGGATCAATGGGTATGAGGTTCAACAAAGCTCAACAAAAGTTCCTGCTCCTTCACTTCAGTCACAGCCCCATGTAGCGCTACAGGCTGGGGGCAAAATTGTTGAACACTGCCCAGGGGAAAAGGACCCAAACTGTTTTCAAACTCACCAACACATTTCTCAGCCAGGTCTTCAAGTAAGTTGTCTGATGGCTTCAGGGTCCAGTCTCGTGTGTGAATTTTTAAAATTTCTAATCTTGCCTAGAAACATGGTTGCATTTTAGTTGCCTGAAGTTTTTTCTTAAGAAAACAACCACAACACAGAACTCCCAAACCTTTCGCCCTAGTTCAGATACTTTTCTTGTCTGCTTCTAAGTAGTTTAGTAGTCAGTTATTAATACATTCACTGCTTCTTCAAGCAGGAAATTTAATCATTCTTAAATTCTTGCATCAAACTATTGGGAGGGATGCAGTGAAATAAAAGGCAGGTGTTATCTTCCATAAAAAGTAAGTTTTTTGAGAGCATGACCTAATTATTTTGAAGAACAAATTGTAGTAAATCCTCATCTGCAAATTAACATTTTGCATCAAAGAAAATTCTCTCAAATTTAGCAAAATTTACAGTGACGGTTTCAGTAGTTCATCAAATTTGCTTTTCTGCCAGTTCATTCAAAGAAAACAGTCCTAGTCCATTTAAAAATGCTACGGTTGCTACCAAGAATAAAAACTATGACTCAAACTACTGTCACTCACCCAGAAAATGTCAAACATCACCCATTTTCATCTCTGATCCTAGCAAGAATTTCAGTGAAATATCTCCTGGTACATAGATTAATTATGGCACACTTCTAGAATTCTTCCATATCAGGAAATTGTATATTAGATCTGTTTCATGGCACCTTGTCTCTTGTTTCTGAGAGCAGATAAGTACTGGATACAAGTGTTTGTGATAAATGCACTGTTTCATGCAGTTTTACTAGACTTCAATCCAATAAGCCTTTTATCTTTGCTCCAAAAAGTGCCAAGAAATATCAGTGATAGCCAGAGAAAAAACACAAAAGCAGGGTTACAGTTTTGCACACTATCTCTCTCCCAGCTGTCCCCACCCCAATATTTTTTGGTTGCTATAAAACAAATTTCTTCAATTCTTAGCTGCAATTTCATCAGCTTGCCATTGAAGTGCTGCACCTGTGCAGTGTACTTCATATCTTTGCCCAAGAGAGAAGCAACTACTTGTTGACATCATCTTATTCCTAAATATATTCAGTATCAGGTTTGCTCTTCGCAGTACAATGGAATGTCTCCAGATATCCCTCTTGTGCCCAAGCTGTACACTGCAGATGGAGACTTGCACTGCTCTGTGATGCTGCCTTGTTACAGGGCTTTGTTATAGAGATGGGCTTTGCCACATAAGGTTGATTTGAAGTTCTGACCTCTTTGTTTGGCAAGCTGAAGCGGAATTCTCTTTCAAAGCGTCCAGGTCTCCGTAAAGCAGGATCTATAGAATCCAATCTGTTGGTGGCTCCTATTACCACAACCTCTCCTCTGCTGGCTAAGCCATCCATCAGTGTCAGAAGTGTCCCCACAACAGAGCTAAAAGGAAAATATAATTTTCATTCACTGGTTTAGCAAATTTTCTTCAGTCCCATATAACCTTCTCCACTGATCCTTCAGAAAGGACAAGTTTTTATTGACAAGATACTGATCAGCAAAATAATTATTTTAAGAAACAGCAAAATGCAGATAAGGTAACAGACCTTGAACTGATATCAAGCTTAGTGAATTGTTTCCAATTATTGTTTGAAAATAATCTGAAATTCACTAGCACTGAATTACCGGTTTTCAGGTTAAATGAAGGTGTCGCATCAAGATAAATAGGTTGTGGTCATCTCTTCACAAAGATCAAACACCTGCTAAGTAGATATGAAACATGTCCTACCTATGAACCTGGTCTTGTTTGTTGGACCGTACAGGAGCAAGGGCATCGATCTCATCAAAGAAAATAATTGAAGGCCGCATTTGGTAGGCCTACAAAGAAAACACAGGAACACTGACATCAGGAAAACAGTACCACTTGAAAGAGAAAATGTATGAAAGACATTATGGTTGGAAAGGCATTTGAACTAGAATTTTCAGACTAGCATCAGCGATCTCTGCTCATTAACCTAATGTGAAACAGCAGCCTGTCAACCCACTGACACTGGGTGACAGGAAACAAATTATACCAGTAGTTTTTACTGCTATTTGGCAACCATGAGAACTGACAGGACTCAAAGTTTCTGGAAGTAACCTTCCATTGCTAATTTGAATGAACATGTTTTTACCCTTTATCTGTTTCCCTCTCACCTAAAGCTACCATCTCCTGCTTCTTGAGACCTTTTTTGTGACTGAGTTGTGTGTGTGGTAGAAGGTCTTCTGAGAGTGGTGATTTTCTTGTTTGCTTCCCTGATCTTTTCAATACATCTCAAGAGACTCCATTGAAAAATGGAACACTAATAATCCCATTTCAGGGCAAGGAGGTTACAAAGCAAGAAAGAGAGTGAGTTCTTCTTGACCACAAAAAGTTAGTTTATTGGTGCAACAGAACACATGGCATGTTCCAACCTTACCTGCTCAAATACTAAACGAAGCTGTCGTTCAGATTCTCCTACCCATTTACTCATGCAGTCAGCTGCACTTCTCATAAAAAAGGTTACCTTCCTGTCACCAATGCTACATTCATTAGCAAGTGCACGAGCAACCAGGGTCTTTCCAGTCCCAGGTGGACCATAGAATAAACAGCCTCTACAATTTAAAAGAAAGAAATTTTAAAAGAATTCACATAAGAAAAAGTGTAATGGAAAAGTATCTATTACAACCTCCATCCCTAAAACACACAACTCTGGTCTCCTAAATTGAACACTTCATGGATAACATAGTGACAACTGAAGTGTGAGAAAAATCAAAAGTGTTCCTACACAATTCTGCAAGGCAGCAAACAAAATGAATAAAGAGAATAATGCAGATGTACAAAATCTTGAGAAAAGATAGTAGCATCCCACATCTGACAAGCCAACAGAGACTGTTACAGTAGAGTAGAGTGGAGCAAAACAAGAGCAAACTTCCAATGCAGAATCTGAGACTGGGCTAACTTAGGAATCATCAGTTCATTTCTCAGTGATAAACTGCATATTCATTCCTGTTTTCACAAAAGTCAATATTTGAGAGTAAAGCATTTAATTATCCCTTAAAAAGCTTTAAGTTACTGGATTTGGTCTCCCTTTGCTGGTGATTAAGGAAGAGGAAGTAGTCTAAAAAGGGGATGGTATTCTGCATTTCTGTATTTCCATCAACTACAAGACCCAATGCACTGCTGCTTCAAAAATAATTTCAATGAATAAAGAAGCAAAACACAGATTTTCTTTTCAATGTTTGTAATACTTTTAAATTCAGTGGAAGCAATTAATTTAAAGTCCTATTTCAATATACCATGACCAAGGATATATAAAGCTAATGAATTTCTAATAATCTCATCATAACACAGAACTCGCTTAGCTGTGTAAGAAGGGACAGATTCTTATTTTAAACACAAAAAACCCTGAAAAGTTCTAGTTGCAAGTCCCATCAATTGTAAAACTAATACCTGAAAATATTTGGGGAAAAAAAAGGGTTGGTATAAGACAGAACTGGACTTATACAGAACAAACCACAGTTAACTTGCAGCAGATATTTCCTTCCTGCTCACAAACTAACCAAGTCCACTTGCATGCAGGATTATAAAGAAAAAAATCTCCAATCTCACCCTTTAAAGGCAAGACACTTTTAAAGAATAGTCTTGCCACACAGTAAATCTCTGAACATACATATATGCTGTATTCTATCATTTTTTTTTTAAATTGCTTTTTATTAGTGCTAAAAAGAGCCATGAACACTGCTGAAAATTTTGAAGCATCGAAAATGTTGATACATCAGTTAAATATTCTCCTGAAAGTAACTGAGTTAAGAACTTGTAGTTTTTAATGGTGTCTCTTACCTTGGAGGTTTAAATTTCAGTATCTCAAAGACATCAGGATAAAGCAACGGCAAAATGACCATCTCTTTTAAAGCTGAAATGTGGTCAGACAGACCACCCACACCATGAAATTGTGCCTAAAGATGAAGTCAATAAAACACATATTAAAGAAAGCAGCAACCTCTATAAGGTTCCATCACAAATTAGATGTCAGAACAAAGAAAACGTTAGTGGCAATTTGCAAATTGCTTGAGAGAAAACTGTAAGTCAAGGGAGCTGTAGATGGAAACTTTCATAAATACTGCAAATGTCTCACTGACATGGAGAAGCAAAAATACTTACTGAACCATCTATTTGCATTTGCTCCACACCAGCCAGACATGCTCCAGTTTTCATGGTCTCCTTATGAGCTTCATTTAAGTTGCCTTTCCGAGTTGCTTCAGTTTTCGTGTGATCATTTGGAACTCCCTTTGTATTATCTTTCTGAGAGTTGGCCGTAGGAGACCTAATTTGAATTAAGGAGAAAGAAAAAAGTGCTTTCTAATTTATGATGCAGTTAGATGATTTTTGATTTTTTAATGATAGCAAGTGAATCCTAAAGACCTTACAAATGAGCATAAGTTTCCTAAATAGCTATTCGTTCCAACTGTTTTACATTTAATGGCCATGAGTAAGTAAAGAACTTTAAACTGAGTTAATTATTTTTACAACTCTTAGCAATTACAAATATGACTATTGCAATTTATAATTTAGAATTTCATTAGGCATTTTTCTTGTTTAAGGATAGTTTCATAAAGAAACATGAACTCTCTTGAGCGATTGAATAAAAAAAAATCCATTGAAAATTCCATACAGGCTCTCCCTGTAAGTTGACTTCAGTTTTAATAAATTGTACCCTTCAAGATTAAATCTTAATTTGTACACCCTTCAAGTCTAATATTTTCAGAGGGACATTATGGCATCCATTCCAGAAAAATGAATTTCAGTTACACAATCTCAGCCACAACCCTCATCATCACCTTATCAGTGACCAAAAATACAGCACTTTTAAATAAAATCTAATGGCTAGTAAAAAGGATGGCCTCCCCTGCAGTGTTTGTTTTCCTTATACACTCAGACTACCACAGTAATAATTTGCAATTATATTAATCTCTAATTACCACCAGTCAAAAAAAACTTGAAAGCATTATTCAGTCATAAGAACAACAGCACTCTTATAAAGGAGAATTATCATAAACCATACACCAACCTTTTAGGTTTTTTGCCTGATTTTCTCTTTTTGACAGGTGAAGTACATTTGGATGTTAGCTTACGTTTCCTTAGATCTGTTGAAAGCAAAGAATTTAGAATTTGGTACAAACAAGTTTGAGAGAAACCAGTCAAGGGCAGAAAACAGGACAGGTATTATCCGTCTCTAAGTTCAAGGAAAGTTTCAAGGAGGGGATGTTGGGTGCTTTAATCAGTGCATAATAGAAGTAAAAATACACACATCTGATTTTTAAGAAAAAATTAAAACCACAAGAGTAAGATTATTAATTCTCTTTAATTGCTATTCTTTTAAGGGTATGTAGATGATTTTTAACTGAAAAGCAACAATAAGGATGCCAAATGGAAAGAAAAAAAATAGAATGTGCACAGGATACATGCATTCAACAAAATTTAATGGCCAAATTAAGTAAAAGATATAAAGAGAAGTTGTTTACATTACATGTATTTTCATTTAAAAAAAAACCTACACCAACAACCCCCCCCACTTCCATGAAAGAAATTAGCTCTCAAGAGAAACTGTATTTAGTATTGTATAACATACTGTATTTGTTCTGGCTGGGATAGAGTTAATTTTCCCCACAGCAGCCCTCAAGGATGTGCTTTTCATTGCTGGCTGGAAAGGTGTTGATAACACACCAGTGCTTTGGCTATCGCTGAGCAGTGCTGGCACAGCATCAGCGCTGTCTCCCCAACATTCCCACTCCCCATCAGTAGGCTGGGAAGATCCTGGGAGGGGACACAGCTGACCCAAATTAACCAAAGGGGTTTTCCATACCGTATGACATCAGCTTAGAAAAGTTAAGAAAAGTGGGAGGAAGGTGGAGCATTTGTTATTTAAAATGTTTGCATTCCGGAGCAACCACTACACATGCTGAAGCCCTGCTTCCTGTGAAGCGGCCAGACATCACTTGCTGATGGGAAGTAGAAAACAAAACCTTTTTTTTTTAATTTTTTTTGTGCATAACCTTTTTCTTTTGCTTTAGTAAACTGCCTTAACCTACAAGTTATCTTCCATCTTATTTTCTCTCCCCAGTTCAGCTGAGAAGCAGGAGTGATAGAGCACTTGGTGAGCACAGGTGTCCAGCCCAGCACACCTACTTTCCAGGGGAGATTGATAGCGCTCAATAGCTTTCCTCTGCCGGAGGGAGCGACGCGGACCATTGACTTCTTTTCTTTCATTTCCTTCTGGTGTAGATGCTGCACATCGACACAATGTTAAGTTGTGCAAGTACTGTTGCAAATGTGATGTATTCAAAACACCCTAGATGTCATATTCCCGCCTGTCCACAACTTTCTGTCTTGTTAGCATTTTGGAAAAACATGGATTTTTTTTTTTCCTCTGAATACCTGTTTTGAGCTCACTGCAGTACAGCCCTAGAGCTTACAGCTTGTAATGGCAATAGCAACACAAATTCTTTAATAGATAAAAAACAACAAGTCATTCAGCCCATGTCAATTGTTAAAGACAAGGCTTTTGGCTAGAGTGTAGTCAAGAAAATTTAAAGCAGAAATAGCCTACAATGCTACCTGGATCATCAGGATTTTTATTGTTATTTCTTCCCATATTGAGGCTTTCCTAATTAAGAGAAACAAGAAAGATGAGTCAGAAATGTGCAAAAACCTGTGGGCATATTTGGTACTTATATAGCAACATCATCAAGGCACTCCATATACATAAAAGATTAAAATAGGCACAGCAGAAGAGAATGGAAGCATCTCTCAAGTACCCAGGATTGATAACAAACATCTCTAAGATAGGGTTTAGTACATGTAATAGTTAAGCACTTCACCAGATGCAAAAAAGAGTGCATCAATTAATCCCAGGTAAATACTCTAAGAGTGTAGCAGAACCCAGGACAAAGCAACTCCTAGCAGACAAAAAAAATCATCCTGGCATTTGGGAGATGATAAACAAAGTACTATGGAAAATTCTGGTTTCATTAAAACAACAAACAAACAAAAAAAGAAAACATAAAGGAATTCAAATCTAAACAAAAAAAAAACTATCAAAGCAGGCTATGAAGATGTTAAAAAATCAAAGCACCTGTCATTTCAAACGGACAGCAGACTAACTTAATAAAGGAAAACTAAGAGGGAATATGGCTTCTGAATATCATTTTAACATGAGTTCCTCAAAACAGAGGACTACTTGAGCTCACAGGTGAGGCTGGCAAAAAAAAGAACACAGATAAAGCAAGCATCAGTTTTTAGTAAGATTTGAAGTGAAAACTCAAGCTCTGAAACAGCTGTTCATAAGCAGAGTCCATTCAAAAGTCATAAGGAAATTCAGAAAGCATAGTTTACAGCATGTATTGCAGAATTTCACTGCTATTTTTGTTTCTTCTGAAGCAGATATTTCCTCCACCCTTAAAATGTAGATATGACTGTGAGCTATTAAACTATAATTGGAGAGGAAAAATAAACAATTCTCTAGACTAAACTGTGCTTTGGAAGAAGTTTGTTGAGCTAAATTAAAAATACAACTAAATAATTCCTCTATGTGAAATACCCTACTAATCTTCTCCCCATCATCCACTGTTTTGCAGGACTACTTCTGAAGTGCTAAGATACAAAGTTGATACGTACGAGCAAAGATAGACAGGTACAAAAAAAACCTCAGTGAAACCAGCACACATAACCAGTATGCCATTTCAATATAGTGTGCACAAAGAATGTCACTGACCTCTAGAAAAGTTTTCCAACACTACTTAAAAAATGTCCAAAAGTTTACTTTCTTACAGAGAGATTTAGGAACAAGTAGTTAAGCATTCGCAAACATACACCATTTTCAGGTTTATTTTCCCCTCTTGCTAAACACAATAAAAAAATCGAATTTAGCAATAAAAAAAAAAATAAATTATGAAGATCATATTAAGATAACAGAAAGAAATTATGGAAGTTTGTCATCACACTTAGGTTGCTCTGCATGATAGCATTAAGCCATTTTTAGTTCACAGCCTTCCTCAGACAACAAACTCAGAGTGTGTTGGAAGGAAGTGACAAGGACCATCAGCTTCAACTCTTAAGATTTCTTCTTGTAACTGGAATTAAGGTTTTACACTGATTTTCTATGACTATATATGGTAGAAAAAACATCTCATTGCTGTTACACTTTGCAAACCTTTCAGAAAACATGTCAGTGTGTACTTCACGAAGAGAATTAAGTTACAGACACACACACCACTTTGTATCCAACTTTCCACCATGGCTTAACTTGACCTGGCATTAGAAAATTAACTTTAAGCATGAAAGAAAAGTTAATTAAACATGAAGGTGCTTCTGATGTCAAGAAAATGGACTTAGAGGCAACTTTTAATCTACCGAATGTCAAAACATAAAGTGGCTGTTTTGGAGCACAAGAACCTGCCCACACATAACAGAGGCTCAGGTGTAATGATCTCTCTGCAACAAGCAATCCAAAAATGAGGACACCAGTAGGCAATTTAAACATTAGTTGTGCCCAAATTCTTTCCACATGAAACACCTGCCAAATACACCCTTCTGGACATACTCTGACCTGGAAGTCTTAAACAACCACAAGAACCTGCTGCCAAAAAAAACCTCACATTCAAGAGCTTGGCTGCAAAGTACAAAGGCCCACATTTTATCTAAGTTAGCACTTTAACATTAATGACAGGACATACCCATGCAGGCAGAGTTAAAGAGAGGGACCCTATGTGCCAACTGTAATGGAATGTTTACAGAAAGGCTGTGAGGTTGCTCAGCAACAGCCCCTCTTCAAAGTTCCAAGCTTGGCCATGCCTAGCTCTGGTGGGACTCTGCTATAGAAAGTCCCACTTGCAGCTTAGAACTTCACAATTACAGAATCATGGAATTGTTTGGTCAGTGGGAACCTTTAAAGATCGCTTCATTTCAGACCCTCTGCCATGAGCAGGGACACTTTTCACTAGATCAAGTGGCCCACCCAAGCTGGCCTACAATGGAGCATCCACAATTTCACTGGGCAGCCTGTTCCAGCGCTTCACCACCCTCACACCAAAGACCCATGGCATACGTAGCGGCACATAGGGAATTCTCAGCCTAAACACATTTATCTCTTACTGCCAGGAAAAATATCTTTTTCTGTTGTCAAAAGAAGGACAAAATCCCTAGCCAATTATTATGCACAAAGCTTGCTAATAGGGCTCATTTAAATAGCTTTGCAACATGATGAAAAATCCTAGTCACTTTTAAATTTGCCAAACAAAAGAGATTGATTTGTAGTGGTGCAACTACTTCATCAAGTCTGCAGCTTTGATGGACCTCAAAATCACCTTTCCTTCAGCTTTTATCCCAACCTACATTACAGAATATATAAAGTGAAACTGGTTTGGTAGGATTATTTTCCATAAATACAAATTAACTCGCATTAATTCTGCTACTCACTTTTAATTCGTTATTAATTCAGTTTCGTGTTATCTGTTCCATTACTTTTTCCAAAGAATTATGTGACACTGACAAGTCTATAATTTCCTGGCTCATTTCTTTTATTCTGTTTAAATATTGGCGTGTTAACTTTCCTTTGCACTCCTGAAATTTCCCCTGTGTAGCAGGAATTACTGAAAATCAACATTAACAGTCCAACCCCACAACAGTGTCTTTAAACTAGTAGGATACATTTTATCCAAAGCTGCTAATTTAAAAATGTTTCATTTCCTATTCCAAAGCAAAAATAGAAACAGCCTCAAAGATCCTGAAGGAGGTTAACAGCTCTTATCCCTCCAAATCAAGCCAGTAAGAACTGGGAATGCCGAGGATCCTCCGTCACTTGGAGTAAGTCACAGAGGAAAATTACAAGAATAAATTTTAACTGTGATACAGAAGGGAAGGTCACAAGTGAATACTCTTCAACCTGTTAGTTGTTAAAACACAGTTGTTTCTGGTTTGGCATATGTGGAAACTGAGATGTAGGGAGCCTTAGCAATACCCACAGTGCATTGTATCAAACATAAGAGCAGAGAAGTCAGGAGGTTTGAACCGCTCATGGCCTAACAGCTACAGGCAGCTCCTCACACATAACCAGAAGTTCCATGTAATTTTCTACGTAACCCAGAAGTTCCAACCTAATTTCACCACATCAGAGAACAAAAAAAACATGTACAGCTGCTCATTATTTGCTGATTATCTTTTTATTGGAATCACAGTTAACCCTAACTATGAAAAAGGAAGTAAAACAAATAATTTCTGGGGTTTTTCTTTCTTTGGTACAATTGCTGGGGTTTGCTCTTCTGTACAAATTCTGGGGATTGCCTCAAAGCAAATTTTTTTTGTAAAGCAGTCAACACACATGGAACTAGCATGATGTATAATTGCAAGTAATTTTTAAAGTAAGGCTGATAAAAATTTTGTGTTTTACATTGTCTTTTTAAGGAGATAAAGAACAAAATTAAAAGGTAATGCAGACATACATACAAACATTGTGTTAGAAACCTAGAAAAACAGATGGGGAGATTACATGTCAAAATGGACTAGTCAGTACTAGTATTGAAAAAAGATTATCCACATTCTATCTTTACTTGTTGTAAGGTTGAAACTCTGAAACATGCAAGTATGTTGCATAAAAGAATTATGAAGCCAAAGATAAAAAAAATAAAAAATTAAATAAATGTCTGATATAGTCCAGTAATAAAACAGTCACACTCCTGTATAACATTTTCTGAGATATATTCAAGTAGGAAAGCAGCTGAAACCAACTGAAACAAGCCATAATGTTAAAATATTGAATTGCTCTTGGCCAGAGTAGCTAACATGAGTTATGAATTTGAATTCTATTCCTTTATGCTCACTGCTTGGAGATGCGGAATGAGCCAGAAACAATAAAAAATCTATAAATTTAATAGTGTATTTGCTTCTTTGTGATATAGGATTCTAAAACACTCAGGCAAAAGAAAGTCTGCATTAAGAGAACATCAGTGACTCATATTCAGGGGATGAGCAATACCATATCTGGGATTGCTTCTATAATGCTAATTTAGCTCCTCTGTGTGAGTCCGTTTTCAATGGGGGTCATTTACTGAGAGCATTCTTTTTCATGAAATCCTGTCTCTCTCAGATCTGGGAATAAGTCAACATTTGTCTTGAAGATGCTAAATATGAGGCAGGCAATCCCTCATTTGCTGTAGAAGAGGAATTTGATATAGTGAATGATGTAGCACTCGCAGAACAGTTGCTGGATTTAGGAAATTGAGTATTGCCCAGAAGAATACATATTGCTCTTTTTCTATAAAATTCCATGGCCATACTGGAATAATTTAAATAATAATTTTTCAAACTTGCAATTAATTCTGTTTACCTCATTTTCTATAACAAATTTTAAATCCTCCCATTTGATTTGTGGAATTTTAAAATCTCACAGTTGTAATTTAACATTTAGTAGACTGCAGGTCTTAAAGGAATTGCAGTTACCCACAGTTAGTCAGAAGTTGAGCTAAAGGATACCAGCTATTCATCCAAACCAAAGTGACTGGGATAATTTGTCCTATTTTCCTTTTTGTAGTATTCTTGGAACTTACTTCCAGGGGATTATAGGCAGTCTGAACTTAGTAATTACTATGAAAAATCAGCTCCATGGTACCCCATCTTAGGTATCCAAAGTTAGTGAGCATTTTTGGCCATACATCCGTTGTTTCCATCTAAAAGCTGAGATGAATGGAAATGGAAATCTGTATACAGTGTCTGAATTGCCATACAAGATATATGTTCACCAATTCCCTGGCTCTTTGCCCTGCTCCTATCCTTTCAGATAAAGAAACATACATACTTGGACTTGAATCTCTATCAATGGTTCTCCATACAGGTATTTGATGCAAATTGAATATCACAAAACAGACTTCTTGTGCAACCTGCACATCAGCTTAATTTAGTTTCAGCTAGCAAAGATGATACCACTGACACAGCACAAGAGAGTCAAGAGAAATTAGTGGTTTTTTGTGAAGTGCTTAAGTGCTGTCATGAGGAACACCATAGAAAAGTCTGTAAGCTATCAATAGTGTCTATCAAGCATTTGAGCAGAGAGAGATAAACAAAATACAAGCTCACTCACATATTGAAATGGGGAGAAAATAATAGTGAATTATTTGGCACCATCTATTCATTCCAATAAATGAGGTAAGGGTATATAGAAAGAACAGTTTATGATCTGATAATGCAAGGCTATTGAAAGGTGACTTTGTAGAGGGGCTTAAGCTTGCATGGACATTTTTAATTCTGACCTATTCTAAATTTTATACTCTTGTATGTTTATGTGCCATTTCCTAGATTTTTGTTAAAATATAAACTATCTAGTTCACATTCCAGAAAGATATATACATGCAATTTATTCCATATTACATTTCATTGGGACTTTTGAGTTCCCTGACTGGTTGGAACTGCTAAGCCTCTGTATTTGGAGTTTCTATTACTAACAAATACATGCTCCAATTACCCATACATACCCTGACATATGGTATCAGTAGGTACCCAACTCATTATGAATTAAATAGATAGTTGACACACTGAGAGGAGATTACATGGAAATAACACGCACAATTGAGCAATTTCCCCGATGCTTGCTTTTCCTAATCATCTGGTCTACAACACGGTATTATTGCTACAAAAACTTTTTTTCCTTATAATTTCCACTTTTTTATATGTTAAAATATAGATTTAAATAAATTTCTTGAAAGTTCAATTGAAAATCTGTGGCACTGCCACACTTGCATTTACAAATCACCAATGGATCCTTTGGTCACAGTAAAATCATTTCTTACTTTTACAATTCAGTTCTTAAAATATAACTCCTCTGCAATGTTGATGAGACTCATGATTTTTTTAATTGAAATAGCAAGAGAAATGTTTTTCCAATAACACTATTAAGTGAAATTAAACACTGATTCCTTTCTTGTGTTCAGCAGGATGCAGCCTCCAGCTCAGCTGTATACACTTCAGTCCTCACTTGTATGAACTTTTCTTCATACAGCATTTTAAAAGGTATAATTTTTCTTCAAATTTTCTTCCTGTGTGCATTATCACCTTGAGAAAAGCCACTTGCTTCATGTATTTGTTTTCCTTTGGGGGCTTATTCCAGTGCAAAGTCAAATCCTCTTAAACCTTCGGTTGATTCCTGGTTTTATTGATGGCCATCCTAGATTTTGGGCAGCTATGAAGAATTCTTTATCTATCATCCCAATCTCTAAAATGTTTATACATCAGTGAATCGAGTATTCTAGCAAGATTTTTTTCATTCTACTGTGTTATAATACAATGCCCTCTAAGACAGTTTCTCCAATACAACATCCATCAAACCAGAGATCACGGTGTAAGAGTGATGTTCAGCTGGGGACATCTACTGGTTGTGTTGTTGATCTTTCACTGCCAGATTTGGAAAATCACTTTATATTTGTAATTCTATTGTAATTATAAAAATAGCAGCATATATTTTTAATCATGTTGATACATGTTGTTTTTATGTACTTTATATTTGCTTTTAAGATTACATATTCTGTGAACTTTATATGGCCCAATTATCAGAAGAAAAAAGAATTAATTTATCTTGCTTTCATAAACAAAATAATAATGGATGGGAGGAGGCCTAAAAAAGTTCTTACTTCTCAATAACACTAAAAAGAAAGCAAGGAATAAAGTAATATTAATGCCAAGATGTAAATGATTTAGTGAAGGAATCTACATGTCTTTAGCTTTTATTTTTGTTATGAAAAGGATAAATAATTCTTATTGTTTTACTTGATGCATTGTAAGATTTCACCTTGAATTTGTATGTGTTGTTCTAAAATAGCTAAGATATGCCATGTCCAGTTTTCTTGGGATTTAAAAAGATCTCAGTCAACTTTATGATATTCTTCAAAGGCTTTTATTAGAAATAAATTAATGCCAAAAAAGGTAGCATATGAAAAGAAATATAAAGTCTTTAAAACCAGAAGTTCTAATCAATGAGCTAAACTGCAAACTAAGAATAATCCAGACAATTTAGTTCAAAGCATGAAAATGTATTTTTATAATGATGCCATTAGGTATTTATTTGATTATTGTATAATACTGATAATTACTTTTGCTGTGATTGAGTCTTATTTCTATAATTGCAAGACTTTACACAACTTTTAACTGTGTTTTCAGGATCAAGAGAGAGCATTTTACAGATTTTGCCAGTTTACGAGATATCCTTTGCACCTATTAAATTATTATAAGTATACAATTATGTATTTATACAAACAAAAACAAACATATATACATATTAACTTACTATGCCTATGCCATAGTTTAGTTGATGAGAAGGTGTTAGGTCATAGGCTGGACTTGATTGTCTCAAAGGTCTTTTCCAACCTAGTTCATTCTGTGATTCTGTGATTCCGTGCCTATACATACATATATGTGCATGTTTGCAATATATGTGTATACATCTATATCTGTATATGCATGCATGCACACCTATATATCACACCAATATCTAAATTGTACTGTTACAGTCTCAGTTAAACCAAATCCTCTGCTGGCTCTTATCTGTGCTGAGATTAAATATCTGCCATTATTCACATTTGCCCTCAGCAGATCCATCAGCAGGACAGACCTCTAACAGGAGCTGTAAGTGGCAAGTAATTTTATCAAGAAATGCAAAACGCAATTTAAAATGTATAAAAGGCAGATAAACAATAAGACTTCCAAGCATAAACAGGAAACCATAAACATATTGCAGGTTTGGAGACCAGACTATAGGAGCTAGAACTAGGAAGAAAGACATCGCCACCATCATAAATGGAATTGGTAAAAACACCTGTAAGAGAAAGAAAAAAAGTGGTTTAGGAAATAAATTAATCAGCTGTGATTTTATGCCTCATTCATAAGAGTAACAATGTGTTCTTTGCCACAGTAGAGTACCATTTCTCATGCTGCTATAAATTCACCCAGGACAAGAGTCATCTGACTCAAATTGCCTATAAGAGAGGCAATTAATATTATTTTCAAAAATACTTGTTTAGGCTCCTTCTGTTGTCAAGGGGCAGAGACAGGCAGTACTGGAAATGCATTTGTTCACATATGATATTGTGGGTTCCTATGAGTCACTCAGGGCTGACTGCCTAGAAGCCTTCACAATAAGCATACATTTCTACTCCAGCTTTATGACTGCTGGAGTAAGAGGAAATTCAGCCTATCCTTAAGGCTTGTGATTGTGTCAGGGAAGATGAGAGCAGATCAAAGCTGAATTAACTGTGAATGGCAATGGGTCCTATCTATAGTGTTCTTGTTACTGCTTCACACTGGTATGGCTCCACATTGTTTGCACATATCCCCCATTCTGCAAAGAACCATCCCCTGTTTTCAAGTGTAAGTTCTCTGGGGCAGAGACCAGTTTCTGTTCTTTTTACAGTGAAGCAAAATTTTCAAGACTCTAAGCATTGTGATTATTATTTGTATTTTTGTGACTATCCACTTTTGATTTGCACTTGTTCTGTAACTTTTCCATGCTACCCGTGACTCAAAAAAAAAATCTATAAAAATATTTTGTAACTTAGACCCATTTACTTTGTATGGTCGATGTAGATGAGGTTCCCGGTATCGAAGTACAATCAGGCTTGCACAAGTCAATCCAGTCATAAGCCAGGAAGAAAATCCAAAGTAATTTGTTAACATAATAAGGTCAGAGGGGATGATAAAAATGGATGCAATGATGGTTGAAAAAATCATGGCTGGTGCTGGAGTACAGGAGTGGACATTAAGCATGGATATTAAAAGAGGTAAATGTCCTGACTGACTTCCAGCATAGCTTAATCGACCGAGTGTGAACATGCTGCTGTTGAGGGCACCAAATATTGAGACAGCAACAGAGAGAGGAATGATCCAGGCAACAGAGGGGATCACTCGATCGGCCCAAGTGACTGCCACAGCAACTGCAAGAAAGCAAAGAATTAGTGTAGTTCAAGTACCATGTTCTGAATAGCTGACAGACTCAACAGGAGTAAGACTTAAAATACAAGAAACACCTATTATTTACCAGCAATGCCTACTTTTTCATTGCAGTAGTCAAACACTAATCCAGTCCTAAGGGTTTTTCATTCAGGAGCTAAACACTTCTGGGGAGGATGACAGCAAGAAGGAGTGCTGCCTGCCAGAGCAAGCCAGGGAAACCTGCCGGGGCCAATACTACAGTCATAGACTGCCCAGCAGGAGTGAGCAGCATCTCACATCCCTCATCACAAACACACACACCTGGGAAAGGAAAGAAAATTAACTCCTCGGTCCCTGGCATCACCACGGTGATGACACAATCTGCTGCTACAGGAAACTGCCAACGGGAGCACACTTACTTTCAGAGATGGGACAACAAATGTGCTATTAATGATATTTTGCTTTGGGTGGAAATGGAAAATGTGAAAGTTTGTTTCTAAACAATAGATATTCAATTTTGCTTGGAAATTAGCTATAGCTGTTATTATAGTGAGGACAATATTTAGTGGGTCTATAACCAAATGCCATGAGGAACACAGGTCTTACAGTGTCCTGTGCAGCATAGGAAGTTATTAGAGATGGGGAAAACAGTGCCTCCCACCTCAAAAAACAAAAAAAAAAAAAAAAAAAACCACAAAAAAAACAAAACAAAACAACAAACCACACGTAGTGAAGGAACAAGAACAAGCAATGTTTGAAAAAGTGCTATAATTTTAAGGTTATCTTCTCAGCTGGCATAGATAAACACAGTTGCCCTAGTATGCATGAAGCTAGTCATGCCAGCTGGCAGCTGCTATTCATGGATACTGCCTTCTTCATTGTAGCATGCAAATGATCCATCTCTCCCAGCAGACAGCATGACACTGGCTGACCGATAATATGAGGTTACTGAGTGACAGGTGCACTGTTCTCATCTATATTAGTGAGCTTTTTTCATAGGAAAAAAATGATTGATTCATCCAAATGAGGTATGCCTTTTGTCAGGCCTGTAGGCAAGGTCTCATTACAGTGGGATTTAAAATGTGCTGCTTGGACAATCGAGAAGAAATACAGTTCCCTTTGGAGCTTTTCATGGCCCGCTTATTGGTACAGGTTCTGAGACAGGCATGACATACACTGGAATTCTGTATAGGCTCTTCTAAGAAATCACAATATTTATCATGAATAATACACACCCAAAATGACTACATTTTTGTGTCCATAGTCTTTTCTATTCTCCTGAACATGATAGATTTGTCCATCTCCTAAAGAATAATAGATTTAGTCTGAAAGCCATTTAGGGAAAGAAGGAGGAGATAGGATTAAAACTACTGGAAAACAAAGATAATCTCTACACTTGGGGCCTGACTTTCACCTTATTTTCCAGGTTTTAATACACTTCTTATTTCTTTTTTGACAGTGTAGGGAAAAGCCAACAATTTCAACAATCTGCCTGCATTCATCCAAAAAGTAAAATTCAAGAATTTTCTGTTAAAAGAAAATTAACCCAAATTTCTGGACTGTGAAGTTAGGTGAGCAGTAGGTATTGATGTCAGATGGATATGTCAATGGGTCAGTCTTTTTCATTAAAAAATATTAAATACATACCTGAGGAGACAATTTCCTTAGGTGTGAGGACAGTCAGATATGAGATGTTCACTAGTAAATAAAAAACAATTACTGCAGGAACAGCTGTCATCACAGTTAATGGAATATTTCTGCTGGGGTTTTTCATCTCCTCTGAAAAATACAATTTAAAACAACAAATGAAGCAAGCAGTGTAGCTTCTGCAAGTGTTTTTCAGTGGTGAAGGTGTTCAGAATTTGACAAGACTGATACCAAAGTCCTGCCCCAATCCCTAATCATGGCTGCTAAATTCTCTGCTTATGAAGTCTTACAGTGGTTCTCAAACAGGTAAATATCAAAGATTCCTAAACAATTTCTTTTTATTTAGCTATTTTTTAACTATTTTGGAAGGAGGGCTGATTGATTAAAAAAATTACAAAAGGAGTGATAATTTCCTTTTGAATTGATTAATTACATACTTGACTTACATTAGAAAAGTGATTTGGTAGGAAATTTTCAAGTAGCCTTACTTGACAATCACAAGCTTAAACATGAAACTCTGAAATCACATTATTTATTCTTATATCACCTCACAAATCCTGATCTGAAACTTACTGAGCCTATTTGCCTGTTACTACTCAAAACCTTTCTCTTTGCTCTTATATCAAGAAATATAGAAGTAACAGAAAAGACTGAAAGTATAGACATAAGAGAAATAATGCAGTGGCTTTAAAAGGGGGCCATTCCCAGATGGATTCTGATGATTATTATCTTTTCCAGGACAAAGATGGTGGAGAAAAACAGTTTAGTGCTAAGCCTGATAGCTTAGAACTACTCTTACCAAACAAAATACAAAAAAAACCCCAAAATTTTGCAGATGAATAACTCGGGCACTAGCACACATTCCTGGGCATGTCATAGTCCCAGCAAAAGATGGAGCTGGTTTCCGGAAGCTTAAACCAAATCACTCTCATGTCAGTCAAAAAGGCTCTTTTCCATCTTTTTCACTCCTTCCTCTTGTTCCCTCTCAACTTCCCACTTCCCTCAGCATTTACAATTTCCTGACTTTTACCAGAAAATAACTGATAATGGGGAAGAAGTGAAATGTCAAATGTGGAGCTTATTTAAATTCTTTTTAGGAGACAGAAATCTGTTTCCTCCTTCACATTTGAATTCTATCTTCTGGTCAGGACACCAGCCTTGAGCCATGATCTCTGTGCTGGCTGTAGTGCACAGAGACAAGACTGAAGGACCACAAGAGTGGAATTCAGATACTATCAGAGAATTCGGGATTTATTTCAGATGTAAGAAATACACTTAGTAATTCTGAGCTCAGAAAAGGATAATCACCAAAATTGCCAATTTAAATTTATCTTTCCATTCGTTTTGTTGCCTGTTGCTGTCTTGCCAGCCAGCTGGCACCTGGTCCATCAGCTGAAGCTCACAGAAATGAAGTTATTGTTGAAGAATAGGAAACCCAGTTCGGTTCAGAATTATTGCATAGGTTACATCTGTCTAAACAGCAGTGCTGCCCAAAAGTGTATGGCCTTTATCAGTACTCCTAACTGACCAGAATAAATCAGTATTTTACCATAAATCTTGTATTTTCTCAGGCTTACAAAACCAAGTGCTTGCCCTTAAGGAATCCCTAAAGTTTCAAAACCATACTTTCCTGATTTATATGATTTTTTTTTTTTGTTTAAATTGCAGCCTATTTTTAAAGCTGGAGGACCTGGATTATAAAGACAACAGACAGGTTTTTAAACATTAACCAAATTTTCACATTATCCTCACCACTGAACTTTGTGGTATGTATTTAACACATTCAGTTTATTTAATATTTTACATGATAGAGGTTAATGGATACAAACGGTTAAAGATATGACAGCAATATCCACTTGCTTACAATGTAATTCCATGAATCTGATGATACTATAAACCTATATTGATTTAACTTGTGATGTGAATAACTATCATTATGAACATCATCTCTGTAACTTTCAAGAAAAAATGCTCATTTATTACTGCCACACGTCAGCAGATACAGAATAGGGAAGTAAATAGATATTAAAAAACCTTTTGAATGATAAAATTGAGTACAAGTTCTATGAAAAAATGTATACCACCTTCCATAGACCTCTCTTTACCTTCAAATAGTCTTTAAAAGTCTATTTTCACAGGAAAATATATCCCATAAAATTTCTACATTCTAACAAAACTCAAAATTACTTTGTCCATGTTCAGACTAGCTGCATAACCTCAGATAAGGCATAGATATTTAAATAGAAATTATCTATGGACACATAGATTGGCATGGATATCTTAATACTTTCCTAAAAATACACAGACACAGAGAAAGACAAAATGCAAATTTTTAAGGTATGAAAAATTCTGTTTATGCATGAGATTTAAAATTAACTATTATGATTTCTATTGTACTTCCCTGGAAATGTCAGCTTCATTCTGCACAAAAATTTAAAAATTTAAAAAATAGGAATTTTCCCTAGAAAGGAACAACACCTCTTCTACCAGCCCCAACAAACACTCATGTAAAACGTGAAGGACCCTGTGGTCTTGAAGCAAAGACAAGTTCTCCTAAAACAAGCTGAGGAACACAAGAAGGAGAACTGCAGAACCAAATCTGAAGAGGAGCAGAATACCTGCCATGTAGTTGAGGGACCACCAGCCGCCGTACGCGTATAGCCCTTGGAAGAAGGCTTCGGCAACCTGTGAGGCGTTGGGGATCTCTGAGCTGAACATGTCCTCAAACCTGGCTAGAGTCTCCTTTTGCCTGGCAACAAGCAGAACTATGCCACCGACAGCAATCACAGACAAGGCCATCATCTTCAGCAGAGTGAAAATTGCCTGCACCCACGCAGCCATTTTGACGCTGAGGCCATTCAAAATCCCCAGGGACCAAAGAACGGCCAAGGCCAAGCACTTCTTCAGCAAGTCTGGTGTAGGACAAACGCCATAGAAAGGCTGTGTGGCATATTCAGCAAACAGCAAGGCTCGAGCAGCATTTGATGCTGGCTTGGTAAATGTTGATGTCCAGATAAACACAAAGGCGGGTATGGATCCAAGGCCTCTTTTAATATGGCTGTATTCTCCTCCAGAGAAGGGCAGAGCAGTTCCCAGCTCCGCATAGCAGAGGGCACCCATCAGAGAAACAAGCCCAGATGCAGTCCAGATCATTAGTGCAACGCCAACATTGAGTAAGGAATGTTTTAACACCCCTGTGGGAGACACAAAGATCCCTGCTCCAACAATTGATCCTATAATAAAACTTACCCCATCAAAATAACCTATACTTCTTTTGAGTTGTATCTTGGCTTTTTCTTTTCTTTGCACATCTTTGGGGTCATTGTTTTCTCCTTTTCCCATTTTTTCCTGGTTTTTTTCACAGCAGATTTCACTTTGTTGCTAGCAGTCTGTCATAGTCCTACTTGCTAGTGAAATGTTATGGGAAGCTTGGCTTAATCATTCAGAAAAGAGAGCATACTTTGGGTTTTGATGCCTCCTATGTGAAGATAATTAACCAAATACTTCAAGAAACACTGGCAAATCATGTACATGTTGGTTTAATATGTACTTCAGAAATTATTAAGGTCTTCGGGTATTTTAAAAGAAAACAACATAAAAAAAATGCACAAGTCCTCATTTCTCAGATGATTTTCATCAACAGATTTCACTTTGTTTTATGGACATTTTCAGAGACAGCCACAGATGTGAGTAAATGTGACTTCTACATCAACCCCAGGGAGAGGAAGAATATGGCAGCAAGAGGAAAGAAATCAATCTTCTGTATATTATTGACAGTGACAACTGACATTAGACGAACAGCCTGGCACTATTTTTCCACCATCCATATTGAAAATGGACAGTGATAACCTGTGATCACCAGTATGTTTTGCCAAAATCTCATCAGTCACTGGTATATTGGAGCTTGTTTATACTTCATTCATTAAACACTGCTCTAAAAAGAAAATTAACACCTTTATTCACAGTTTTTTCCTGAGCACTCATTGTTAGACCAGTACTCACACACATCCTAAAATGGCATTAATCTTCAGACACTGCTGTGAGGGAAAGAAGCTGTATCATAATTTTCAGTTCTGCACGTGGGCTATGGAACAGAAAGAGGAAGGATGAAAGTTCCCACTGCTGATTTTTCTACATATTTATCAATCTGTGGTGTATTTTGTGTTAGGAGCTTCTCTTCAATCAGATGTGGATATATAATAAACCAATGAATTTTGTACAAAAAAAAAATGCAATTATTCTTTTTAAAAGATGTAGGGAAAATTGGGCAGAAAGAAGAAAACTAACTGAAAAGGAGCACAGCATGGACCCTAAGGGTTATGTTAGTGCCCAAACTCCTAACTGTGAAGTTCTTACTTTTTGTCTGTCAAGTTGCAGAACCAGTTTTGTCCTGCAGGTCAAAGCTCAGCAGTGCAGTGAACAAAACTAATGTCTTTATAGGGGCCAACTTGAAAGAAACAGGCCTGAACAGCAGGATTTTCACACAAATACAAAATAAACACATCCGAAAAGTTAGTTTATATAATATGTCATCATGTAAAAAAAAAAACTTTGGCTAAAACAGGCATATGCACAGATTGTTTTATTAATTATTTCAATAACTTAAAGTGGGTTTTCCTTCACCACACAGAAGCTTTGCAGCATGGTTGGTGACAGAATCTACAGCTCCAGAGTAGCTTACAACCATAAGAAAATTCTTCCATTTTCCCCAAATCCCTGCAGTACTCACTGAATACTTTCACCTTGCAGACTACAAAACTTTTGGTTGTACAAGAAACACATCTCTACTAACTAAAACTTGCATACATTTTAAATTGTATTGATTGATTTCATGAATTGTAGTATGTATTTACCATGCATTCTTTATAATTAATAACAATTAAAATATTAATTCTCTGGTATTCATGATCAGGAAATTCATAATTACATGTTTCAAATGGTTAAAAAACGTAATTTCTTGTTTTATTTCAGTGGTTTTTTCTGAATCTCCTTCGCTGTGAATGCACACATATTTTTTGATATGCAGCAATCTTCCAATTCTCTTTGTATTCTGTCATGTACAGCTGAATTTGGATCACTACCTTAAAAAAAAAAAGTTACACTCAATATCATCTTGAAGTACAGATGCAACTTTTTTTACTGATCATCCTAGCGTACCATTTCTAGTACAACAAAGGCATTTACAAAATCTCCCAAACAGCAGATTAATAAGATTTTTTTTTACTTTTGACAAAGCTGCCTGATCTCAGAAAGCCTCACTGAGATTATGCCTTGGTGGTTGGGCACGGGAACAGGCTCCCCTGGGAAGCGGCCACAGCTCTCTCAGACACATGGTGTGACTCTTGGGGATGGCCATCGATGATCCCTGGGTGCTCCTTCCATCTCAGGATATTCTGTGATTCTGTGAAAGTCTCTAACACCAGGTGAGCTCTAATAAACACCAAAGCACTCCCCCCGCACCCCGCCCCACGTCCCCCCGGGAAGAATTCAAAGCAGTCCGGTCTATAAACCCGGCCCCTTCCTGCGCCCATGGCAGGAGTCGGCAGGAAAGCGGCAAGCAGAAGGCGGCAGGAAGCGAAAGGAAAGCGGCAGGAAGCGAAAGGAAAGCGGCAGGGAGCCCAGTGGAGGCACGGGGCCCGTCCCCCGCTGCCGCCTCCCCACGGCCGCGCCTGCCCGCGGCGGGAGCGGGGAGTGGCCGGAGTCGCGCGGGAGCGGCGGGGCCGTGAGGCGGGGCCGTGAGGCCGTTGTGTCCCGGCCTAAGGCGGAGAGCGGTGCCGTGGGGACAAGGGAGGTTTGAACCGAGGTGCCGTCAGACCGGAGCCCGGCGGGATGGCGGGGATCCCCGGCGAGCTCAGCCTCATAGATAAGGGCGTTAAGAGGTGAGTGCGGGCCGGGGTGAGGGGAGGCCGCGGCGCGGGGCCGAGCTGCCCCGCTGACGGTGGGCGCCTCTCTCCCCAGCTTGCGGGATGTGTCCCTGAGCTCGGACCTGCACACGCTCAACGCCCACTGTAACCACATCGCCAGGATCCAGGGGCTCGACCACCTTCGGAATCTGCAGCACTTGGATCTGTCATCAAACCAGATCCGGCGCATCGAGGGGCTCAGTTCCCTGGCTAAGCTGCGCACCCTGAGCTTGTCCTGTAACCTGCTGACCAAAGTGGAGGGTCTGCAATGTTTATTTATGTCCATTTAGCAAGTTAAAAAGGTTTTCTAAGTTTAAAGTCTTAAAGTTTACTTCTGGAATGTTTGCATATAAGTAAGGTTGTACCAAGTTAGTATGAGTTAGTATGCTAACCGTTGTATAAAGTAAAATTTAAGATGAGTATATATAGTCTTTGTAGGCCTTAGCGTAGCAAAATACCTTAATTTAGAAGGAAAACCAGATTTTTGTATTATTATTATAGTTTAATGTCATAATTCATAGTTATGGTCTTTAAAGGTTCGCTTTGCAAGCTTTGAATTGGATGAAAGCAGAGAATTCTTTTGAAAATTCTACTGTTTCTGTTTTTTCCCCACGCTTTGTTTAGGACTGGAAAAACTCTTTAATTTAACTATCCTGAACTTGTCATATAATCACATACATGATCTCTCTGGTAAGTGATATTGCCATGTGCTGTGCAATACAAAGCATTTGTCTCACTCTAATATTGAAAAACTTGAAATACAGTCAAGTGTATTTTCAGAAGTTTCTAGCGCTTCAAGTACCAATTCACTGAATAATTCTAATAAAGGTAGAAATTGCTGCTCTTCTCAGCTTTAAAGTTTTTAAAACTAAAGATTGTTCTGAACTAGAATTTACTCTTCTGTGTTTGGTGAGGCCAAGCTTGTTCAGAAAGTAGTATAGTAAACATTTTAGACTTACTTACAAAATATTAATATCTTTCATTTTTATAGAACAAAAATGCAACTTTATATAAGATATGGAATTTCTTTTCTGTATCGCTTTGTTGAAATAGTCAGTTGTTGCAATTTCATGGTACAAAATCAAGAGAACCTGTAATGGAAAATGAAAAGAGCATTGGTAACAGTTTTGTTAATGACCTTGTGTTATAAAACGAAACTTCAAGGAAAAAGTTTATTTTTACATGCTTTTTAACAGAGATTAATCTGTTTCTTTAAAGCTAGGTCACATAACTAGTACGCTTAAGTGTTGTAATTGTGGTAGAGTAGCATAGGTAATTGACATGTAGACAAGGATATGGAACAAGTGTTGTTCTCTCATTTCTAGTTATGATCTCTTATTTACTGAATATTTTTTAACACTATGTTCTAAACTCCATAGTCTAGGACTGTAGCAGACAACATTACTTTGTGTTTATTTGGTTTTTTCCCTGAAATTTCCAGGATTTCAATCCCTTCATGGAACCAGACATAAGATTAGCCACATTGACCTTCACAGCAACTGTGTAAACAATATTAATCACTTACTTCAGTGCACAAAGGGGCTGCACAGTTTGACATACCTCACACTGGAAAAAAACGGAAAAGCCAATCCAGTTTGTCACACAGCAGGTATGGATCTGATCTTGCCTAGATAATTTGTGCTCATTAGATCAGTGATTTCCTTTAAGCTGTAAGCTGTTTTCTGAAGCTTGCAAATTCATTCATAAACTGACCAGCCTGTAGAAATCTAAATTCTGTCAAAATTAATTAATTTCCCATTAAAAAATTTCCTTTTTTTCCCCCACGACATACTCTCAAAATTGTAACTTGTATGCTCTGATAAGGCTCAACACTTTCACTAGTGAGTGCAGAAGAGGGCCACCAACATGATTAGAGGGATGGAGCATCTCTTCTGTGAGGAAGGGCTGAGAATTGGGATTGTTCAGCCTGTGTCTTTGCTACCCCTGAGAGGAGTCTACAAAAGGAGGAGAGATACTCTTTCCAAGGGCATGTAGTGACAGGACTGCAGGTCACTACTCCATGACAAGGAGGAATGTCTTCAAACTGGAGTAGGTTTAGATTACATACTAGGAAAAAATCTTCACTGTGAAGGGTGGTGAGGCACTGGAACAGGTTGCTCAGAGTGGTTATGGATGCCCCATCCCTGGAAGTGTTCAAGGACAGGTTGGATGGAGCTCTGACCCACGTGGTGTAGTGGAAGGACGGGAGTATTAATATTATAAGCTGGATAGGTGGAGAACTCCAGTAATGTACTTAAAGATACTGAACTGTGCAGACAGAGAGCAGGCACAGGACGTGGACAGTCTGCTACTGATAAGGACCGTGAAAGAAATATCAGTAACAGTTAGCTTTTCCTTCTTTTCCCTTTGCTTTGGTCAGCAGTGACAGACTTTAAGATCCTCTGCAGTAATTAGCATTTTCATCCAAATAGGTGACAG